TCCCTGTCCCATCCAGAAGTAGGGTAGAGCTGAGGAAAGAAAGGGAAGCAGGATGGAGAGCCAGAAGGAGACCTGAGGAAGCCACATGGAGCAGCAAGCATGTGATGAAGAAACTGCCTGTTTCTTGACCCTGGGCTAATTAAGGCAGATGTGGGTGAGATACCTATAGGGAGGTGACTATGGCAGTGTTTATACTGATTTTGATTTTGCTCTTTTCCTCCCAGATTTATCTGGCCGTTTCTGACCCTTTTCCATGGGTCCCGGCCAGAGGTGCTTTACTCTTGTGGCGGGCTTTCAGGCCTTGCTTTGGGCCAATCCGTTTTGGGTTGACTTTTGCCCACAAGGGGATGGGTAACTTCAGGTGTTTGATTTAGAGATTATATTCTTTGTCTTCTGTATTGTATACTCACTGTATTAAAGTCCCTTTTCATTAAAGTTTTATGTGTTTTGTCTTGATGCGGCGGATGGCAGAACCCATTTAGAGCAGGCTGGATTGGGGGTTCAGTGCTGCCCCCTCTCCCTGTCCTGTCACACTACCAATCCTTCAAAGACAAACTAGTACATATCCTTTCCAAACTCTTCCAAAAATTAAAAAAAAAAGGAATATTTCCAAATACATTTTGTAAGGTCAAGTTTATCATGATATTAAAACTAGAAAAATGTACCACAAACAAACAAACAAAAAAACAAACTGCACACCAATTTTCCCTGACAACTATAATAGATGCCAAAATCTTCAACAATTTCTTAGCAAGCTAAATTCAATAGTGTGTTAAAAGGTTATATACCATGATTAAGTGGGACTTATTCTAAAAATTTATGTATGATTCGACATCTGAAAATCAATCAATCTGAAAATCACATCAACAAAAGGAGAGATGAAAATCATATGATCATGGTCCTCCCTGGTAGCACAACTGGCTAAGCGCAACACTGCAAGATGGCTGCAGCAGCCTCAGTGCGAGTTCGATGCCTGCCTCTGAGGTGATCCAAATGGCGCAGCAGACCTCTCCTGACCCACCCGCTGCTCCCCGCAGCAGTACTTTGTTAATCTGCCTGTTCTGCTCCCCACTCAGTCTCTGGTGAATCCTCTTACTGCCCTTGCACCTCTGGCCTGTACCCAGTTCTGTATGTGTAAATAAATATCATATCAATAATTATAGCAAGGACATTTGACAAGATTCAGCATCCATTTATGATAAAAACTGTTAAATGCAGAACAGACAAGCATGCTTCAATTTAATAAAGACCATATATGACAAACCCATAGCTAACATCATATTCATGGTTAAAAAAAAAAAATTAAAAGTTTTTCCTCTAAGATCAGGCAAAAGATATCTACTTTTAACCACTACTATCCAACATAATATTAGAAGTCCTAGCTAGAACATTTTATAAGTATTAATTTTTCCCTAGCAGTGTGTGGCAAAGAGTACAAAGGAATATGGTGATGGGCTCTGGTGGTGGGAGAACTACAATGACTACACTAGAGGGAAAAAATCGTATGGTTCAAAAATTAATGCCAATGTAACAAAACAGGACATAGAGTCTCCCTGGTGGCCTAGGAGTTAAATTACAGCACTACCACTACTAAGGTCCTCTGTGAAGGAATGAGTTCCATCCCTGCCCAGGGAGCTGACCCACATGGTGCAGCAGATTTCTCCTGTCTCACTCACTGCTCATACCCCTCAGCAGTGTATTTCAATCCATCAGCCTGTTCTGCTCCCCACTCTGTCTCTGGTGAATCCTCTCATCCCCTGCCCTATGCACCTCTGGCCTGTACCCAAGTTCTAAAATCCTTCTAAAAAAGTAAAACTGAGATAAGTCAAAGAAAAAAAAATGCTGAATGTTTTCACTTACATATGAAATAAAGATAAACAAAGGATCAGACAAAGCCAAACCAAAGCACAGCCCAGAAACCTGACCATTAGAATTGAGGCTACCAGAGGAGTGGGGTGAAGAATGGAGAGCAAAGAGGAGAGGAGGCAAAATGGACTACAATGGTAGAGTATGGGCACTCTGGAGGAATGTGGTATGCAAAGAAACATCTGTGAGTATAATCTTGTACCTCTAATTCACACACTGTCTGGTAAACCAACATTATCCTCATGAATGAAAAAAATAAAGGAGAAATATGAACTGTGGGGATAAAAAAGAAATTCATTGCATATCAGTTCCTGTATCTTACTCATTTTTAAAAATTGAGGTATAGGTGGCATATAACATTATATTAATTTAAATTACCACATCATCTTTTTTTAAGATTTATTCATTTTTTATATTTATATATTTATTTTACATTATTCATTATTCTTTTTGTACAGTGTATATTATCTCCTCTCAAATGTAGTCTCCATAATATTCCCAGCGCCAAATCTCCCATGTACTATCACCATAGTCCCTTGTGCTCTTCCCTCCCTTTTCCTGGTCCCTCTCCTTCCTCCTCCCCTGCAGAATGTCTCTGATTTATAGCTGCTTGTTAATTTGTTTTTTAATTTATTATAACTATTTTTTTTCCTGACCCCTTACTTGGTTCTTCTACATTCCTCCAACTGATAGTTTTCTTTTTTTCTCAGGCTTTCTTCACAGAGCATAGTCCCTTGAGCTCTATCTATTTGCTGCGAATGGCAGGCATTTTACCTTTTTGATTACTAAGTAACATTCCATTGTGCATATATACCACATCTTCTTAATCCAGTCATCTATTTTTGAGCATTTGCGTTGTTTCCATATCTTACCTATTATAAATAGTGCTACAGTAAACAGAGGGGTGCAGGTATCCTTTTGAATTAATGTTTTTATATCCTTTGGGTAGATTCCTAGGAGTGGAAATGCTGGGTCATATGGAAGCTCTATTTTTAGTAATTTGAGGAACCTCCACACAGCCTTCCATAGTGCTGGGATCAGTTTGCATACCACCAGCAATATAGGAGTTCCTTTTCTTCACATCCTTGCCAATATTTGTTTTCTGTATTTTAATATAAGCCATTCTCACTGGTGGCATCTCATAGTGGTTTTGATTTGCATTTTCCTGATTACAAGTGATATTGAAGATGTTTTCATATACCTGTAGGCCATTTGCATTTCCTCTTTGGAAAAGTGTCTTTGTTTTTGTTGAGTCACATCAGTTCTTTGTAAATCTTTGTGATTAGTCCCTTATCATTTTTATGAAATGCAAATATTTTCTACCAGTCAATAGGGTGTCTCTTTGTTTTGGCAACTGTTTCTTTTAATCTACAGAAGCTTTTTAATTTGATACAGTACCAGCTTTTCATCTTTTCCTTCACTTTCTTTGTTTGGGGGGATATGTCTTTGGAGATGTTACTGAGATGTATGTCCTTTAGTGTTTTGCCTATATTTTTTTCTATATATTTTGTGGTTTCAGTTCTTATGTCCAATTCTTTCATCCATTTTGAGGTGGTTTTTGTGTATAGTGTGAAGTAGTAGTTAGTTTCATTCTTTTGTATGTAGCAGTCTAGTTTTCCAGCACCATTTATTGAACAAATTGTCCTTGTTCCACTGCATATTCTTTGATCCTTTGCCAAAGATTCATTGCCCATAATTATGTGGGGCTTTTTCCTAGGTTTTCTATTTGAATCTATTGGCCTGTCTGTCTTTTTCCAGTACTATTATTATTTTATTATTAACATAATAATTCAACATACTTATTTTTTACCCCTTGGGGTATCTATTCTTTTAAAGATTTATTCATTTATGCACGCAAGAATTGGAGTTGATGCCAGAGGTGTGGGGAGTGAGAGGATTCACCAGAGACAGAGTAGGGAGCAGAGCAGGCAGATCTACTGAAATACACAGCTGATGGGAGCAGCAGACAAGATAGGAGAGGTCTGATGCATTATGTGGGTTAGCTTGCTGGCCAGGGAGCAAACTTATGCCATAATAACTAGTGATAGCCTGACAGCACTGTAGCTTCGGCCCTTGCACCACCAGGGACACTGCAAAATGATCACCCCAATAAATCTCATTAACATCCACCAGAGCTAGAAATTTTTCACTTATTTTTAACCATACATCGTTAGAAATATTTTTACCTTGTGATAAGAACTTGAGACCTAGTCTTTTAGAAACTTTCCAGTATTCAATATAGTATTATTAACTATAGTTGATTTGCTGTATATTATACCTCCATGACCTAATCTTTTCTATGGGACTCATTTTTCTTCTTACTTATGTATACAGTTAATAAACCACCTTGTGTAAGTAACAAAGTGTATTTCAACTAATCTCCTATTCTTGGATATAGGTAGCTTCCAAAAGTATGCAATTATAAGTAATAACTGCAATGGATAACTCTAAGCATCTATATTTTCTTACAGCCGAAAATTTATCTTGAAAATAAATTCCTATAAACAGAGAACTATTGGGTAGAAGAGTAAGCACACACATAGTTTCCTTAATTTTGCCAAATTTCCCTCCATTGGTGCTGAAAAGTATTTTGATTTGAACTTTTTTGGTTATATGCTGATATCTAAGAAATCCTGGTGAAAGAGTGTAAGGGGCCAGGGGAGAGAAAAAAAAAAGAGAGAGAAAG